GCTCAAGAAGTTTGAAACATAATATATATGAAGCAAGTTGTTTAGCAAAGGAAGATAAAATAATCAGATCAAAATAAAAATCAACTGCAGTGACAGACTGAAAATATAATTTTGCCTTTAATAATCACAGCTATCATATATTTCTTAAATATTGGAGGGACTTTGTCAAGTAATGCCTGTCTATAAGCAATATAAATAGTTTAACATTTACTAATCCTGACTATTCCCATCTCTGCTCTACTTACGTTGTGCTCCCTATCACGTTTTTAAAGCTCTGCACATGGAAGACGCAGCTCTGGTTGGTCAACGCAGCTTCAAAGATCACCTCAAACTTGGTAAACTTCCTCAGGCTGCTGAAGACAATGTGAACTCTAGAAGAAGAAATAATATAAAAAGGAAATCCTCACAAAATATAGCAAAGTTACATTGCATTTTTCGCTAATATACGATTTACTGGGTTGCATTCAGACAAAGCAAAGTTCTAGTCATCCTCTGTGTAGTAAGGTCCTTACTGGGTCTCTGAGCAGCTGAGATCCAGGATATCAAACCGAAGACTCCCCCACGTCTTCAGCAGACGTATCTCTTCTCCAACAAGGCGGCAGCGGCCCACAACCAAGCTGACTTCACGAAGAAGCTGAAGGAAACAAACGAGTACTTCAGCTTGCAATTTTAAACAAACTAACCAAATAAAAAAATAGTGTGATGAAACTTATTTGCTCTGATTTCAATCATACCAGAGGGAGCTAATTATCTCTGTGTTCCTTCATTGAATAGCTTTAGCTAAGAGAGCTAGCCTTTGTTTAAAGAGTATCTGGAATCTGCAAAAACTTTCCTTTTCACACCAACCTGTGGAACATGTTGACTTGTGGGATATTTCTCCACCCAGCAGGACTCTCCCTCAACGTACCCAGAGACTAATTTATGAACAAGGCGGGCGTGACAATATGACTTCTCATCTGGTTGGAAAAAAGTCAATAAATTTTTTAAATTAAGTTAGTAAGATGTGCAGAAAATATAGCCAGAGATGAACCGCCATGCTTGGCAGAACAGCATTAATATTAGCATTATTTGCAGCATTAGCTCAACAAATCATTTTCTCACCCAGATTAAATTCGAAGCTGATATTTGCCATTTTCTTCTCAGATCTGCTCTTCGCATCATCTCCTTAAACATAAAAAAAATAAAAGAACTCCGGTGATTAATGCTTAAATAGACGAATGCTGTAAAAAACAAAGTGATACAGATGGACAATAGGAACACATTTGATAATAAAAAGGCTTGGATAGGGGCTGCACAATATTAGGAAAACATGTAATATGTGATAATATTGGTAAATATTACATTAGTGTGTAAAATATAAACTCATATTTGGAAAATATCAGCCAATGATTATTTCATTCCAACAATCCTTTGTGAGATGCATATTACACACACTGCTCACAATTAAACAATGCATTATGCAGATATGGTGAGTCTAGCTTTCTTTACAGTTATCTGAGAAAAAAAAATGTGTTTTTAAAATAATAAGTCAGTTTCAGCTTGACAAAAATATAACTTTTTCAGAGCTGTCCAGTAAACAAAGACATCAAGACCGCTGGATCCAAAACGCTGAAATAGAAGCTAATCTTATTTTCTACCAATGAAATCTTTGCTCTTTTTTTTTTGTTGAGTTTTAACTTAACAAGAATCGAGATTCATGATAAGACGACCGTGATCTATTTTTTTTCCTGTTCTTCACTATGATTTTTAAAGGAATCGTCTCTTCAAAATATCCATAAAATTCTTATTTTAAAGTGTCATTTTTCCTCGTCCACCTGTTCCCTTTTGGAGTGAACTGCAAAAGAAGTAAACAGAAAACCATTCCAAAAAGGAAAATACGGAAAAGGACTAGGGCCACTGAAAAAAAAAAAAAGTTAACTGATTTTTAAATTTTACTTCAGTTTAACATGGGAAAAAAAGTTAGAATTCTGATATTTTTTTCTCAGAATTCTGACTTTAATCTCAGAATTTTGGATCTTAATGTAGATGGGCACCATGAAGGAAGAGATGCGGGAGCACTCAGCTTCACTGACAAAGATGTGAGTTGTTTGAGGTGGCCAGTGACACATTGGTAGAAAATGACGGAATTAGGCAACTTTTTACGTGCCCGAGGGGTCCCCTCATTAATGGAGGAGCAGAAGGTCATTAAAACAAGAGAGCTAGTCTCTAAAATAGACATGGCTATGGCTTGATGCTAACATGTTTGTCAGCTGTCAGAATTCTGAGAAAAAAGTCGGAATCCTGAGATTAAATTCAGAATTCTGAGAAAAAAGTGAGAATTCTGACTTTTTTTCCCATATTAAACTGAAATAAAATGTAAAAATCAGTTAACTTTTTTTTTTTTCAGTGGCCCTAATCCCCTTCCGTAGGAAAATGTTGCAGTAATGTCCGGGTGACATTTTCAGTCGGGCAGCACATCCTTGGCTGTCCCTGTAGTATTTAGTTGACACAAAGACAGCTGCTCATATTCAAGTAGGTTGAAACAGAGTACATACAGCACCAAACTGCCTCTATGTGTTGAAATGATGAAGGAATTACAGCCTGGCGTCCACAAATATGTGGATCATGCACTACATGTTGACTATATAAAGTCCTTTAGTCACTTGGCATTATATGTAGAGGTGTAAAGAGAAAACACAAACATTTGGGTGAATCTCCTGTACTCTTTTCCTCACTAACTTATCAAAAAGGATATTTTCAAAGTCCAAACTTAAGACTGCAGAGAATCCTGGAGGTGACACTATGGCATAAGAGTGTTTAACTAAACCAATCATGGTTTTATTTTAACTTTTCTTCTTCAAAGCGTTTAAAATAATCCAAGAATCTCACCAGTGTTTTTTTCATACACCAAACGCAGAAACATAGTCTTATAAAGGAACGTGTAGACTGAACCGGTGTCCTTGTTTTCTTCAAGCCTCCATTCATTTATCCTAATAAAATTAAAAAAAAAGACAGGTGAATTTCCAGCATACTCTTGAACAAAAGTTAGAAACTTCCCCAACCAGAATATAAACTGACATATCCAGCACGTCATTGCGGCTTTGCAGGTCTTTCGCTTCACTTTTAAGTCTATTCAGATCCTTTGACTTCTTCTCGTTCTCCAAAACCAGTTCGGATATTTGTCTGAAAAAATAAATCAAACGCATTTTAAGGCATATCACTGAAAATGAGTTCATCTATACGAAGGTACATGAAAAAGAGAATGTTTTAACTGACCTCTCACTGTCCGCCAACGTTTCAGTGACCTTTGACATTTCTACCGTAATAAAACAGGTTTAATATTAATTTCATAGAGGTTTAAAGTGACAACTTTAAACCAGATTTACAAAGACTTACCTTCCTGTAGTGATGTTAGACCTGGTTTGTCCTCAGAGCCTTTTCCCTCCACTGCATCAAGTTCTGAAAGAAGAGAAAAAACAAGTAAAGTGGAGCAGCTTGTCCCTTTTATGCAGACTTTTCATCCAAGGGGGGAAAGAAATGTCCTCAGGTAGTTCATGTCATGTCCTTTGCAGAAAGCAAATATTGTCATTACAATGCAAACCTGTGCAGTCATTAAATGCATAAAGCAAAGAACCATTCAGAATGCAATAACGACGGATTATGTATTCAAAGTGGTAGAACTTGCATTATCATGCTTAAACATTAAATATGAAATCGTAATTGTGAGGCTAAGGTATGGTTATAATACTGTTCCTGTATCTGTATTTTCATCTTTCTTTTTATTTATCTTTTGTATTCTCTGTAAAGTGACCTTGAGTGTCAAGAAATGCGCTGTTAAATAAAATGTATTATTATTACTGAGATGGAAAGATATTAGCAATGCCCTAAGATAGAAAATTATGATTCTGGGATAATGGGACATTTTCAAGCAATCCAAAGTCCAGCAGGAAGCATCATTCATATGCAAAAAACATTTAAAAGTCATGCTCTGAGAATTTAATAAACACCCAAGAGCTACCTGTCAGACACTAAAGGCTTTACAGAGCATGATGCATGGGGTTGGGCAAGGAGATGATACCAAAGCAGAGGCGGTTTGGACTGGGACGTTTGGTGAAAACAAAATGGAGGTTTGTATTTTTTCCACAAAGACTTCCATTTTGGCGTATGCTTGGTGCAAACAAATGTGACTTGCGTTTAGGTACACTGTTGAACACTTACTGAAATAATTTTAGTAAAGCCTTCCTAAGCCGCTTTATGTCTGGTATAAAATTTTGTACTGTTGTGGTAGACAAGGTACCCCGCCTCCACTGTGCGCCTACCTGCTTCTAATTCACCGATACATTCGTCCAAACTTCGAATCATCTGATCTGCCTGATTGAGTTTTCCCCTCAACTTCTGCTGTTCCTCCTAAAAAAAGAAAACAAACTGAATACACACAATCTTAACTGGTACAGATAAACTCAAAGTTATTTTGCAAAGGGTCTCTCACCAGATTGGCTACAACCAAATTAGCGTAGAGCACCTCCTTCATTTCATGACCCTGTTCTTTGCTATGTTTTCTGAAGAAGTTGTGTCTTTCCTTTAGCTTGGCACCAAAGGACTGGAACTGTTAATAAAAGAAAAATAAGGGGAAATTTTTTTTACATAATCTTGAGGAAAAGTGCAGTTTTCATGGAGTCAATGGAAAATATATATATATAAAAAATAAATGTCACCTCTTTTTCTGTGAATTTCAGCACTTCTTCCCACAGAGATTTATTAACAGTCTTTAAGGGTTTGCCTAAATCCTGCATTTGATACTTAAGCCTAGTACAGGACAAAAACAAAGTGAGCTTTAAATGCATGTTCACATTTGGAGAACAGAAGTAAAGTGGTAAATATATAGCTTTAAATAGCATTTTAAAAAAAGAGAAAAGAAAACAAACATTCAATAAAATGTAAGACTGAAAATTATTTTAAAAGAGTACACACCCTTCCACTTTTTCTCTTAGGCTCTGAACATCTTTCTCATAGATCTTCTGTTTAGGATGGTTTATATATTTGTCTTTAAGTGTATCTAATGATGTTTTATCCGTGCTGGACGAAAGCTATAGGAGCAAAAAAAAGAAAACAGACTCAGCAAAGAGTGAGGGTTTATGACATTAAATCATAAAAACAAAGGAGACATACTCTGCCAGGAAGGACGCTCTGCCGACAGTTATGGATGAAAACATCTATTCTTAAGAGATTGAAGAACTCCAATAATGTAATTGTGCCATCTTCAAGTTTCTGTAATTGATACAAATAAAAATATTAGAACAGGAACTATAGTTTCAAACTTGTTTAAAACCAAGGTAAAATTAAAATAAACGTACCGTAAGTTTATCGCCGCTGTAGTCTTCAAGCTGGGATTCAAACAGGCTGTGTTTAAACGCTAGAAAATATTGAAAAATGACTGAGGGTAAGTATACGGCAGACAAATAAGAATATTAATCATTTTAAAGTATGAGATCTTAACTGGACTCGGGCGCAATTTCACTTCTGCTGCTGCCTGCGGGACTGCTGTTGGAGGAATCAATGGTGTGAGTATCAACCCCAGAGACGTTGCTCTCAGAGTCAGCTTCGGTCTGAAAGGCCTGTAGGGAGATAAAACGGATAAGAGCAAGACTTTGGAGCATTGCAAAGTAAATTATTCAGAAACTATGAAATTCCATTTTCTCTCATCACTGACTAATTTCAAATTTGCCCTCTTATGTTAGAGGTTTTACTTGATATGCATGAAGTCAAAAACCCTCACTACCATCTCTACTGGAAGAAATCTCTTTGAAATAAAAGCAAGAAGAGCAAATATTAAGAAGCATTTTTAGAAGTGTTTTCATATCTGTTGTAAATAAACATAAGGAATATAAACACAATTTCTACCACATCTATTTTTTCCTCCTTTATATGTTCAAAGATGTTTTCACCCATTTTTTATTGGACCTTTTTTATGGGTTACAAGATCTAAGGTCACAACTAAAAATACTGATCACCATTTTGCTTTTAACACTGCATTACAGATGCTTAGTTTATAATTCAAATTGAAAAGCCACAAATGATCTAGATCAGTGGTCCCCAACCACCGG